TTTTTTTTCTAAATTCACCTTTCTGTTTCAGTACTTTTGCAGTCCGCGCAATGTTGTATCCGTTCGCTGTTGTAAGAAGCCGTTTACAACTTCAGAAACAACATGCAGTCTACAAAAACACTCTGGATGCATTTGTGAATATATCTAAAAAGGAAGGGATACGTGGGCTATTCAGGGTAAGTTCTCTATCTCGCATTTGTTTTCACCGTCAAAATTCAATGTGGTTTGGCATGGTACCATCCGAATGTCCATTTTTTTCGTCTTAGACTTTTCTTTACTAAGGTTCATATAGTTCTTTTTATAACTTGAAATTATGACTCAAGTTGTTTCCAATAGCGCTTTGATAGTTTAGGGATTCTGGGTGACAGTACCGCAACTAAGCACTTCGCTTATCTATTCTACAGTGTACGAGAAGTTTCGATCAATTCTAAATCGAGATTTTGGTATTTACTCTGTCGCTGGTGTATCTAGTCTAGCTGGCGGTGCCGCTAGCTTTTGTTCTCAGGTAAGCTATTTTTCAAAATACGTAAAAAGACGTTATGAATCTGTTTCAGTCTATATTTGTCCCTACTGACATTATTGCGCAATATATGATGATATATTACAAAGCCGATAAATTTGTTGCCGGGAGTGACAGAGGAGTTCTCAACTATGTACTGAACGAAAAGAATCCGCGGCTTACGCTAGGCTTACGTTTTATCAGAGCTATCTACAAAGTTGATGGGCTCAGGGGATTTTATCGGTGAGTGAGGTTCAATGACTATGATGTTTTGTAGATCCTGGCACGAAGATTTTTTGTCCATGCTGGATAAGTGCCAAACATTGTTTGCAGAGGGTTTTTCGCTTCTGCCATGGTTGCTACTCCATCATGCTTAGTCTTCTGGCCTGTGTATTATTGGATCCAAGACTTGTTCAACTGGGTATAAGCGATTAGCATGAATTCACTATTCTCTATCTGATGGTTATCCCTTTAGATACGCAAGAAAACTACTGAAAGGCCGGGAATTCTCCTCTTTGATCAGGCGGTGGCCGCTACCTTTGGTGGTGCTGTTTCTTCTATCTGTACTAATCCTATGGAGATGCTGCGCATCCGACTGCAGGTAAAACTAGTACAGAGCGTTAACATTTTGTAAAAACTTTTTTGGTGCTCAGATTCAACGCATGAACTACATAGACACATTAACGAGAATGCTCAAAGAGGAGAGGCATCTTA